AACGCCTCAAATCTTCTGGCGCTCATATGACCTTATGCAGTTGCGAGCGCCGTAAAACCTTTACTAAAACTAAATACTTCCTGATCTAGTGATACGATACATCAGAGCTCCAGCACAACTGTCGGATAAAAGCGACAATACCCCCCCTCCCCTTTTCCTCTCCCCCAGTCACTGACAATTCATACTTCACCATTGTGATCGCCCAAAAAAGAAGAAAAAGGGAAAGAGAAAAAAAAACGCAGAAAAAAAGTTGTTGGCCATACAGATGGTGTGAGATGAGTGGGGGTGGGGGTGGGGCCACGGGGGAACGAAATATTATGTTATCACAAGCCATATCATATCACCTGAAGGGACAACAGCCTCTCTGCTTGTGGTACGTTAGAATTTACAGGTGCAACTGTTTGTTTGTTATTTTAGTAAGGTTTTACGGCGCTCGCAACTACATCAGGTCATATGAGCGCGAAGGGGTGGATGTCAGCACAGAAGTCCAAACGGGGAATCAGGCTTACTCTGCTCACCTCTCTAGCCTCAACAGCACCAAATCTGCTTCGACTATCAAGGCACCCCGGAAATAGCAGTTCACAAGAGAGTGGCAAACAAACAAAAGAAGTAGAGGATGAAAAAAGAAAAAGTAGCAGTTCCCCCTGTGTTGTTTCGGCACAATATGAGCATGACATTGGAAAATCAGCCCATTAAAATTCTACTGAGCATAAGAACATTTTCATGGAGTTTTACAGCAGTGTGCAGTTGTATTCATGTGTGCATCTACTATGACGATATATATCTAATATTATATTACATTATTCAGGCAAAGGACACCTTTGGTGGAAGGACACCTTTGGTGGATCGACTCTGCAGTATTAAACTATTATCCTCTGTCTTCTCTCGCTCTTTATTTGCATAGAGATTGCTCACGCCAATATGCCTTACTAACTGGGCCCCCTTTCGATGAAAGGAATGATTGGTGCTTTAATATCAACTAAAAGTAATTGGCCTAGAATATTTACACTCTACTGGAATGGGGCAATAAATCTTGAGAGATGCAAAAATTATAAGGTCTAGATCTAGATCTATATTCTCAAAACAAAATGCACCTAGCGAAATATCACTTCCTGATTTTCAAAAATTACAGAGACAGAAGCGTCGGCCTACAAAAGTGATCGGCGAAATAAAGAAATTTAGCTTTTTGCAGCAAAATTGTCTCAAAGCTGAAAAAACTAAGGGCGCCATGCTCTGGAGAATATTTTAAAGAATCTTTTGGCGAAAACCGCATGTCGATCGATGCGGCCATTAAAAAGCCTTTTGAATAGCAAAATTCGGCCACCACAAATAGATAATAGATTAATATGGCCCTTGTAGAACAGCTGCTTCCGGCGTTAAACCTTAACCAGTAAAGAGCTTTCTGTTATGCCGGGATACGCGCTTTATTGTAATTATAATGTTATTTCTCATAATAATTTTGTGTCCCTATCCTTACATTGTACTTTTCGTCTGTCATCTTTCCTGACCTCTCGTCCACTTTCCTCTTCTATTGTGTTTATTCCTCCTTTCATTGTATATTTTACTTTTTTCTTCTTTCCTTTTCATTTCTCCCGTTTCTTCTTTCGTCATTATATTTTCTTCCATTTTTTCTCTTGCTGCATATCATTTTTAATTTTGTGTCGAAAAGGGAATTTTACTCAAAGAAAAAGCATATAAGTAAAAGGAACAGATAAGTAATGTGGTCTCTCCCCCCACCCTTCCTTTCCGCCAGATAATTCACATAAAAGTTAGATAAAGGATACCTGTCCTTACCCGTCCAACCATGAAGAAATTACTTTACTACGAATAAAAGCAATTGATTGGCTGGTGAACAAGGCCTGTAGGCCACTATAATATGTTTCACGACGCATGGAATCAGGCGCTCGTCAATTTTTGGGCATGTAGAGTTATTGGTATCATCCGAAAGCTGATTGCTTTGCCTCGAATGAAATAAATATCTATTTGTCTTGAATAGAACTCTGGCTATTTGCGGTTGAAGGAGGTGAGGTCGCCCTTTTTCAGTGTTGAAATAAGCGAGACAGTGGCCGCCAAAGTTTGATAACTCCAAAAGCTAAAGAGTTTGAAAATAGAAAAATGACACACATTTTTTTGTACCTTTATCAACGTTTTTCAGTACAATTCACATGGAAATGTGTTTTAATATGGACCTGCTTGAGGTTAAGCCAAAAAATAATTTAAAAAAAAATTGATAACGAAAAGTTTCCAAACTTGACGAGCGCCTGATTTCACCACGCTGCCTCATATATAACGTTATGACAAGGACCGTGTTATGAATGCAGACCGTATGTTCAGGGACAATTTTAATTCCAACTGTAGCGGATGTAGGAAACAGCTGAGGTCGCGCGGTGTGGGTGATGGGAGGGGAAGGGAGGGGGGATGGGTAGTTAAAGCGGGCGCGTGGCGGGGGAGTAGAAATTGTATGCATAATGATGGAGGTGAGCTGTGCTGTGAAACGGTGTAGGACTACGATAGTGATAATAATAGTAATAATAATAATAATAATAATAATAATAATAATGATAATAATAATAATAATAATACTAATAATAATATAGTGATATTTGATATTCACTACCTGTCCATTTCAGCAATGCTGATGCACTTCGATGTACGCACGAACTCAATTTTATGTTTCTTTCAGTTTGGACAATTTTGTCAAGCCTGATCTTTAAAGGTCAGTTGTGAGTGACCATATCTCGGGAGATTCTATCATGATGAAACATTATTGTTTCAAATAATGCAGAATTTATTTAGCTTTGAATTGGTATGCTGCATGGGTGGGTAGTGCAAGGCTATAACACAAAGGTTGAAGGATTACATTTTCAAGTTTCTTTAGGACTCCACTATATATA